AGTTATTGACTTATTGACTGATTTTTCTAAGCTAAAATACATGCTTCTTTTATACAAAATTATTAAATCAAAACTATCAATGATATTCACAAGAAAATTGCTTGCTTGTTCGCTTGTTTGCTTGCTCACTTGCTTGCTCACTTGTTCACTTGCTTGTTCACTCACTTGATCACTTATTTTGTAATCCAGTATAAATATAGATTATTTAGTGTAATCTAAATAAATAATTTATATATTATTTGTAAATAATAATATAAATGTGATACAAATAATAATATAAATACAAATAATAATGTAATACAAAATGTAAATAAAAAGATCTTAACTAATTAAATATAAACATGTATTTTCAAAATTATCCAATAAGATTAAATGATAATTTTGACTAATAATTAATGTGAAATTCTATTATATAACAATACAACTTCTATAGAAAACTTTATAACTTTATCTTCAGCTTCACAATTATGGAACTGTGTAATCATTATTTCCTCCAGATCTTTAATTTCATACAATAACCCATCATACTTTTCTCCTACTAAATCATCAGCTGCATTCTCATGATTATTTTCCATATTGCTATTGGAGGACATTATTTCGTTGAAAAATGCATTTTGATTTCTATATTTTTTTTCAATGCAAGTATTATACATGGAAAAGATTTTTGTTTGACTTTCTTTTATTTGAGTAAATTCCCTAATCAATCTTTTACAGTGATATCGAGTACATAATTTTTTTCTTCAATGTTACTAATAGCTAAAAAAAGTTTTTTTTGAAAGAATTTTAGTTCAGAACTGACATGAATTTCTGTTCGACTTGCAAAATATTTATCATGTCCTTTAACCATCTAATACTAATAACATACCATTAATATTATTATTTATAACTGACATTTTATTTATTTTATTATTTAAATAGTTGTATAATGATGAGCAAAATAATTTTTTTGGCTTTGGGAGAGAAAGAAAGAGAATTCTTGTATAGATCGTAATATCTGTTCTTTTAGCAAGATTTTATCTGTTCCTGATATGTCACATCGTATCATATTGTATCGCATTATATCATATTACATATTATAATACAGGTAAGTATCATATTTAACAAAATCTGTATTTTGATTTATTTTTTTTAATCTAGAAGTTGCTAGTATTATTGTAGGTATCAGATAATTAGACAAATTCAGAGGATTACTTGTAGGTTTAGTTGGGAAAGGGGAATAGATATTTATTAGATGTTAATATCTATACTATAAATATTGTTTAATACAATAGCTTAAAGGAGTTGCAGAAAAAATAAATTTACAATCAGGTAAATATTTGAAATTTGTAATTAATATAATTAATATATTTATTAATTTAATTTTAATTACAATTAATGCTTTCTCTCTTGATTTATATCAATTTAATTCTAATTACAATCAATATTTTTCCTTTTAATTTATATTTTACATTGAAGCATTTTGATCAATCAATAAAGATCTATTAATGGAATCAATGTTCAATTAAATAAGACTAAATTATCAATAAGATAATAATTATTATAAAATGAGTACTATGATCAATCAATTATTTTATTAACAAAATATGTCTTCTGAATTGCAAGTCTTAATTATCAAAGGTAATGGAATGATGATAATTGTAATTGGTTATCTTTTCTTTGATTAGTACATCAGGAAATTTCTATACTCGTTGGCAATCGATTTATAATCATGTCCATTGGCAATCAATTATCAACATCCTTATCGTTCACCATTGATAGGGATTATAATCGATTGTCAGTGATTAAAATCGATTATAATTGCTAACAATCGATTGCGTTCAAAAATCATCGAAGAACAACGTTAGCAATCGATTGCAATCACTAGCGATAGAAAACGATGGTGTGTTGATGATCGATTGCCAATGGAAATTGTAAGCAATTGATTGTCAACGAGTTCC